ATGGCTTTTATTATTTCTAATTAAGAGTGAGGGACAATAGCACAACAACTCTAACTTATTTAAAGAATGTTCTACATTTTGGGGAAGAGAGAGAGAGAGAACTGGTGGTGTTTTCTGTTGATTTTTTCCCCCTCCTTCAACATCACTGATTCTACGGCTTTTAAATGTGAAGTGGACTGTTTATCTGAAAGTGTGCTGGCAGACTGCCACCATATTTCTAAGATTAAAGAAAGGATTGAAAACAATCAGCTTTCCGAGGAACTGAAACCACGACAATATGTTTCTGATTAATTTACAAATATATGTATATATTTAAGGCTAAACTACAGAACCAGAAAATTCCTACTAGTTAGTCTATCACAGGCATTCTTACACTTTATTAGAACAGACATCATATTGAAATAATAAGCATGGGAGGCCTTCGCTTCTTCTTTGATCTATATTACTAAATGTCTGACTGGCTCAGATTTAAAATAAACTTTGGTATGTTTGCACTTGAAAACTGGAAAAAGACCACAAGTAATAATTTGTTGTCAGTTTCCATATTCTCTAACTAAAAACTACAGTTTAGTCTGTACACTGCTGGATGGCAGGCGATGTTAGTCCAGTCGCCCCTGCAGTGGCTGAACTTTCTTGTAGGAAAATACGCTCCGGTATGGGAGCAATGATGATAGATCACTTCATCAGCGTGGAACTAGCTGGGATGAATTAAAGGTACAAGTCACAGCTTTCCATACTTTCCGAATCTCTTGCAGGCTAGTGCCATTACAGCCTTACGTACATGGGTTATGGATGGGAGGAGAGTACCGCGGAGCTCCTTTTTCTCTGAACATCTCAGGATCCTGATTTCATGCCAAATGCATCACAAATGTGAAGGCAAGATTTCAAACTGTTTAATGGTGGCCCTTCGGTGTTGTCCTGGGTGATTATAAAGTATTTTTTCTGTACAAATGTTGTCAATTTGCTTCCAATAAATGACATTATAATGAACAGTGGTGTTTAAGTGCCATCTATGCCCAGCTTAGTTGGATTTGGTTTTAGACTTGGGAGTTTACGGATATGTAGGTAGTAATTTTACTCAGACTGAGGTACAGGTTATAAAATTTCATCTGAGAGTCGTTTACTGTCTTATTTAGAAAGCTGAACTAAGAGGAAGGGACACAGAAGGGAGTTTCTGATCAGGAGATGAAAGAATCTAAATTATTCACCCTTAAAAAGCAAAATGAGTACAAAATGCTACGGATTGTTACAAATGACAGGATTAAAGAATACACTGACACCCTTTAACTTTTCTTAGCCTATTAAAAGCATTCCTTAATTGTCTGGTTAAACATGAATCTCAGTACCAAATGAGTTAACGCTCACAAAAAAAGGAAAGAGCTTTGAAAATCTCACCACCTCTAAAAATTCCCATTCTACTGAGCATATCTCATCACTTTATTGCCAAGGTAACCATGGGTATCTCATGAACTCTCAGTGCTACTGGATGGTCAAATACCAGTGCCGCAAAACACCTAGTTCTCTATCTACAGATGATAAGGCCATGCTTCAGACACAGGACTGAGCTCCAAAATGGGTACACTGCTGATTCTATACGATGACTGCAACTCATTTATGAAGGAGAGAAAGCACTTATATTCCAGAAGTTTCAAAATTCAACAGCAACAGAAAGTGCTATAAGCATATTCCCCTGACAGACATTGTTAGGGTGTCAGTTTAAGTTGTGGTCCTTGCTACCTAAGGTATCACCCATCTCATCACATCACAACCTTTTTGATCTCTCTCTATTAATTATATAATGCCACCCTATACAGTGAAGGAGAAGAGGCACCGTCACACAGAGAACCAAGATTACTAAGCATGCTTTTAGAAAAGATTAAGGGTATCTCCTGAACCAAAAGCTTTTCAAACTTTCATTAAAGCTTACCTCTTCAATCTAGCTCTCCTAGAATAAGTATCCTTCTCTGTTATGCGCATACATTCTGCCAAGCACATTGTAATGGTTCTCAAGCACTGATCTTAACATTTTGAGCAGAAAGACTGTTGTTATATCTCTGTTAATCCCTAGAAAAGACCACCCATACTAAAAATGGTGAGCACCAAATAAAGCACCTGGACAGAGAGACCGAGCTGGAGAATCAGAGTTGCCGTGGATGATCTAACAGAAAACACACCAGCACTCAGTAGCCCTGGGGCTTCCCTATCGATGAAGGATAGCCATGCTTACTACTGGAGAGCATAGAGCTGATTTGAGCCATATTCTCCTAGTTAGGCTGAAGCAAGGAGAAATTAAAAAGCAAAGCTACAACAGATATGGCCCAAGGGCCTAAACACTCTGGCTGTACCATATTCCTGACTCTTGCTGGTCTGATGAACAAAGGACCAGGAGGACCCACTTTTCTGTGTTTTGCCACTTTAAAGACATCAGGTAACACATTCAAAGAGACAAGCTGATGTGCTAAGGAAGTTCAATATACATGAGAGGGTTGCTGATGACATATGGCTGCTTTTAGACACAACAAAAAAGAAAGATGACCAGCTGTGTGGATTGCAGAATGAAAGCTTGTGAAGCACATT